TCCTCCCTGATTACTGGGCAATCAGCATTTCATTAAACCAATACAAGTGACAAATCTTTACAGGGTACAAGAGCATTATCCCACACCAGTTTCCATCAAAGCACAGAGTCTGTAACACATTGCAGCATTGTAACATTGTAACACTGAGTCTGTAGTAATTTGCTTGATATAAGGTGGCAGGGCTCATTCAGCTACACCCTGTTCTATGCATCCACAGTATGGAACTGTTTGTAAAGATTTAACAGTAAGTACAAGCATTAGCTCACACCTTCCTTTGAACTTTTGCTGCCTTGCCTCAGGACACTTTCATGGGGCACTATCTTCCCAATGAATAGCAGAAGATATGACAGCTTCCATTCTATCTGCTCAGTATGTACAAGAGTCATGGATCCCTTTTAGAGAAGCTAATGAGTATCTTATTATTTCTAGAAAAATTCTGTGATCAATTCTGTTGTAGAAGAAGGCCCTGTGAAACTCCTAGTTTGTGTTCTCCTTCCAACTTACAGCCCCTTAGCTAGGAGGCTTCTCTTTGAGAGTGTTTTCTAAATACTGAAGTCTCATAAGTGTTTTCAGGATTTTTACAAATGTCAGTGGTTTCTTTGGGGGACATTTCTTGCAGATCAGTGGTACTCTGAAGATCTACAGTTCACATTAAAAGAAAATTCATCATTCTTTATTTTGGGTTGGGACCAGAGAAAGATGCTGGGTGCCCTTATAGATCATTTTCTTCCTTATTTTCTTGACACAGGGTCTGTCACTGAAATTAGATCTAGGCTGGTAGCCAGGCAGCCCCACCTATCCTCTTATCTCTGTCCCCCAAAGCACTGGGGTGACGGTCACATGAGTGGCCATGCCTAGCTTTTGACATGGGTGTTAGAGATTGAAATTGTCCTCATGCTTGCATAGTGAGCACTCTTGAACACTGAACCATCTCCTGAGAGGTTGTTTTGAACGCTTTTAGCAACCGGAGGCTTATTCTTCATTTGGATATAAAATGGGATAAAGAGTGAGGATCTTTTTCTTCCTGAGAGTTAAATATTCTCTTTCATGGAACTGAAAGGGGAGTGAGTACTGTGTCTGATTTGTTGTGTTTTTGATATTGTGTTTTGTCCCTGTTCTGGAGCTAAGGATCCATGGCTTTTGATCACATATCCCCAGGCATTGGTTTTGTAATCATAAACACAGTACCCGCCTCATAATGAGCTCCCAACTTTGCAGCAGGAAAAAATAGGGATGCGATGCATCGTGAAATTGCTGTTGTCTGCTGTCAGCACGAGAACTAAACTCTTCAGATGGGTGCCTGAATGTACATTTGCTGTGTGGAGCTTGAAAGGCAAGCGGTCTTTGTTTAGTTATTTATTTATTTTACACACAACTGTTTGTAAGAACCTTCAATTAGCATGAAAAAGAAACTGGTCCCAGCTTCACAGCCAGTTTCGAACTACATATTGGAAGGTATGGTGTGCCAGGATATCCAGGACAAACTGGATTATTGATGAAAGAGGCTGAGCAGTTTGTTCTGATATCCTGATTGCATTTATTACTTGATCCCACAAGCATTGATATGTAGAAAGAGTGAAGACTGTACCACAAATGCTATTTCCTCTTCCACAACTTGATAACGTCCTTTGTTTGAGTAGTGGCAGTGTTTTTCATGCGTATATCAGGATTTAATATTCCTGGGACACTCATCTTTTGATGCTTCTCATTCATTAAATTCTAAATCAATGTATTAATTAATTAAAATGCTACCATCCATGGCTGAATCTGAATTCTAACATTGCCTGTCTGGAGTAACTTTCCCTTTTTCCTGGATCAGGATTTACTATTCCTGTGAATATCTTTTGGTGCTTCTCATTCATTAAGTTCTAAATTAATGTATTAATTAATTAAAATGCCACCATCCATGACTGAATCTGAATTCTAACTGCCTGTCTGCAGTAACTTTCCCTTTTTCCTGGAGTTCTTGTTTGCCTACATATTGTGTCTTCATCTCTAATTTTGAGTCATGGTTGCTCTAACACATATGTGGTTCTCAGTACCTGCAAACACGTGGGCTATTTTGATGCAACACCCCTTCTTTTTGTACTTATTTACATGTGATATCTATACATGTGTATGCCCTGCCAGAAGAGGATGTTTCTTGTCCTGTTCTATCATTTTCTGCCTTGATCTCTGAGACAGGGCCTTTCACTCAGCCTGGATCTAGGATGGCAGACAACATGCCCCAGGAATCTTCCTGCCTCTGCCCACTGTGGAACTGGAGTTACAAACGTGTCTATCAATGCTGGAGATTTGAACTTGGATCTTTATGCTTACCTAGCAAGTACCTTTCCCAACGAGCCATTTCTCCAGCTCTGTAACATTGGCTCTCTGTGGGGACATCATTTTGGATTGGATTCCCAGTAGCTCTTGTTCAGAGGCTTCATTTTTTTTCTAGTAACATTTTTATTAACTCTTCGAACATTTCATAAATGTGTTCAATGTTGTCGATCACATTCACAACCCCCCAGTTTCCACCCTGACTTGTGATGTGGGAGTGTCATATATCAATCTGTTGATTCCATTGGTTAAGCAATGAAGAAACTGCTTGGCCCTGACAGGTTAAAACATAGGTGGGAGGAGTAAACAGAACAGAATGCTGGGAGGAAGAGGAAGTGAGCTCAGACTCGACAGCTCTGCTCTCTGGAGCAGAGACGCCATGCTCCCATTTCCTGGGCAGACACACGCGATGAAGCTCCGACCCAGGATGAACGTAGGCTAGAATCTTCCCGGTAATACTGGTGCTACACAGATGATTAGAAATGGGCTAAATTAATATGTGAGAATTAATCTAGAAGAGGCAAAATAGAAATGGGCCAAGCAGTGTTTAAATGAATTCAGTTTGTGTGTTGTTATTTCGGGGCATTAGCTAGTGAGGCGGCCGGGGTGCTGGGGACGCAGCCCCGCCACTCCTATTACAACAGACTTGTCCAAGGCCCACGGCCTCAGAAGCTCTTAGCTCCCTGCTTTGAGTCCTTCTTAAAATGCTTGCAACACTCAGACTTCATCAGCGATGTCTCTTGGTACAGTAAGTGGTGGTCAGTGCACAAAGTCAAGTTGGTCAAAGCACAGAGAATTAGAGTCAGTGGAATACTGAACCACATTGGGATATCTCTATCTATCTATCTATCTATCTATCTATCTATCTATCTATCTATCTATCTATCTATCCATCCATCTATCTAATCTATCTATCTATCCACCCATCCTTTCCATTTGTCCATCTGTCCATCCAGCATCTCTCTCTCTCTCTCTCTCTCTCTCTCTCTCTCTCCCTCTCTCTCTCTCTCTCTCACACACACACACACACACACACACACACACACACACACGTACACACACACACACACACACGAGGCTCAGGGTTCATTGTAGAGGAGGAGAAAGAAAATTGTAATAGTAAAAGGCCAAGGAGGACCAGAGCAAAACAAGGTTTTGTGGACCTGACAACCTGGCAAAACTGCTGGGCTTATGAGCTCACAGGAGCTGTGATTGTCTATACAAGAAGTGCACACAATTGATAAGCCAGCTAACATTCCAGCATGCTGGGGGGAGAGCATTCGTTAGAACCATTGACGGTCAATAGAGTCATTGACAGTTGATGGTTTCTGGGGTTCATAGCACCACACCCAACTTTCCTCATAAGTTCTGGAATTTCAATTCAGGTCCTCAAGCTTGCAAGGCAAGCACTTTATTGACTGGGTCCCTCCTTAGCCTGGAAAGTTGTTTTTTTTTTCTTTCTTTGTTTTGGGCAGCCAGGTTTGTCACAATTCTTGGAAGAAAGAAATCCTCTCATCAACCTGGGGATGGAGCATTCCCCTCTGCATTCACTTGCAGATGTAGCATAAGAGGGATGAATGCCACTCAGATACTTCATCTCACTGTGGGGGAGGGATCACTGGGGAAACTGTCACTGAGACCTGGAGCTGGCTAGAAGCTTCTTCCCTTAATGTTACCTGTTCATGGTTTAAAAATTTGAAAAGCCGTTCAGAATGCATGCATTATGACAAGCATTATTAACATTTCATTAGATATTCTATACATCGGAAGTGTAATTAGTTATGATGAATATGAGATGAATCTCGTTATGAAGTATGAATACTAAACTTGAGTGAGCGAGTCTTTATTGTGTGTTTGCATGTGTTTACATGGAGGCCAAAGGCTGGCGTCCAGGAGCCGGTTCTCTGTTCCGCCCCTGGGTCCCACAGGTCTCAGATCCATGGATCGCAGGTCACGGGCTTTCCCAGAAAGCACCTTTACCTTCTCAGCCATCTCAATGACTTACGATCTGATCTTGAAATCTGTATTTTAGTAAATTTCCTAAGCCTTGAGAATATGCAGAGTTTTACATTTAGACTTTGATGTGAGGAAACTCAACACTCGATGCTGTCACAGCCCAACTTAGATCTCAGTTGTCCCCTTAGCCTTGTGACCTTCAGTTTCCACCTCTATAGACTGAGTAGCTGTCAGGCTCATAGAATGGACAAAAATGTCCAATAGACTTCATTTTTCACAGCAAGCTTGCAAATGATTTTCTGTTTTCTCAAGAGTGGTGTAGAGTTATGGTTTGTTTGCTTTTTAAAATTCAGCCTGGTTATAGAAGGAAAAGAGCAAACAATTAAAAAATATAACCAAAATCAATACTAATAAAATAGCCTCAGAAATGTAAGTGACAAAGGATATATGCAAATGAGGTTAGTGGAGCACCGCTTAACCTGGTGTTCAATATTTATTCCTCTATTATGAGCTCTAAAGCAAAGGAGTCAGCGTCGTGAAGCTGGATTGAGACGATGCCCCAGTGACCAATCACTTTAAATATTTAATATTAAATATTGTTGAGGGAAGGAGGTAAGTACAGGATGGGTCACTCTAGAGATTTTAAAAGAATGTTTCCCATCTATGCGCTGCTGTCTCAGCCCCGGGAATAGTTACCTAATCACATGTTTCTGTCTCTCCAGGGAGAAGTTGGCTGTGGCCAGGCTGCAGAGAGAAGTTGCTCAAAGGACAAACCAAGGGGCCATGGTGAGTCTTGGCTTGTCGCTCTTCCTGTGAGTCTCCAGCTCTGTCTTCAAAACCATTCAGTTCCAGCAGAGTGTGTCAAAGCCAAATATTTGCTTATAGCCAACTCCATGATTATGCCGTTGGTAAATTCATGTATTTACTTCAGTTTAGCGAGCTCTGCCTGAAGGTGAGAGAGATGCAGACAGAGGGATGCAGACAGATGGACAGACCCTGAGACAAGATTTCAAAGACTATCCAAATGCTCAAAGTGTGAAAGACTATGTTTGAAGAATCTTGATTGAATGGTTAGACTTCCATCTGTCAGTGCCAAGTCTGTAAATGTACAAATTTAGATATTTAAATAAGGACATTTCAGTGTAATTCAGTCCTCTTAGTTATTTGAAGGTAAATGAAGCAGATTACAGAAAGAACCAGGGGGTGTTCCTAACGTAATTCCCTTTTATTTTCTCCCTCCCTAGTATCTACAGGGTGTTCTACCCTGTACATTCCAGCTTGACTTCTTAAGAACACTGATGTTTCCTTGTGTTTCTGAATGGTTCAAAAGAATCAATACATTTTATTTTTGGTCCACCTGAACTTCATTTTATAGACTATTGTCTTTGCAAAAGTATCTGCTCAGGTGCTACTGTAACATCCGAGGTGACCGTCTGGGTCCTTCGGGAGCCTGTGCGTGTGAATTAACTGCCGTTGCAATCTCTGAGAAGGAAATCTAACACCAAGCCTTATTTTGCTCCTCTTCTGACAAGACAGGGGCAGGTGTGTGAATTTTCCTCTTCTGACAAGACAGGGCCAGGTGTGTGAGTTTTTAGCAGAAGAATCTGTTCTCTATGAAAAGGAAGTGGCATCTCTGTTTGCAGCCCCCGAAGGCTGCTTCAGTCTGATTCCATGAGAGCTAATGACAGTTCATCCACCAGAGGAAGGAGGAAGTCTGTGAAAGTCGCTGGCCCTGTCCTTCTCCTGATGGGGAATGCAGGAGGCTGGGACTACATGCTAGATGCTGAATGCATCTGAAGGGCATAGGGGACCAGAAACCGGCTGGCATATTTTGGGAAGGCAAATCACACTGTATGTAAGAGTCAGAACACGGAGAGGGCCTGCAAATGTTCAGACAATTTGAGGCAGCCATGCAGGAGTCTCTTTAAGTGATGACGTGGAAACAAGCCGGAAAAGCACAAAGGTCTGAGTGTTAAGCTACATCTTCTCTTTTGTACTGCTCCCTCCAGGAAGACAGCTCTGTGTTTGAGATAGGGTCTCTCACTGACCTGGAGATCACCCAGTAGGCCAGACTAGCTGTACAGCAAGCTCCAGGGTTCTGTCTACCCCCATCTCCCAAGCCCCAGGGATTATAAACACACACCACCATGTCTGGTATTATAGACAGGTACCGGGCTACAGCTCAGGTCCTCATGGTTGCACAGCAAGCACTAACCATGTGAGCTTCCTTCCTAGTCCAAGAGATTTTTTTTCCTTTCCATAATAAACACTTCATTTTGGAATGTCATTAGATCTACACACACATTGCACACTGCAGCCCTTCATCCCCAATATCAACATTTTATATGACTATGATCACCGCAACAGAGAGATCAATGCTGTGTTAATGTTAAATACCAGACTCTGTTAAGATTTTACTCTGACCCATTTGTGATGTAGCATTTAAAGCAGGACTCTGCATTTCATATATATAGGTTCCCCGCTAGTAGCAGGGATGCATACATGTGTGCAGTTTGAACTGTACATATACATGGAATATGCATCCCAGCTATGGCCCAAGACCAGTCTGGGTTCACCTCGCACTTGGCTGTCGTTTACTGTCCTCAAGGTAACACATTTGGTCTGGGATTTTTGTTTCACTAAGGAAAGTTTTGGGAGACAGACTTTGAGGATCCTGGGTATTTTATATTCTCATCATTGGTTTACAGTTCCCTTTAACGGCTTTCCCCTGGTGGTCTTTCTTCTGAGAGATTATTGCACCTATGCTCTACTTCGCTGGCTCAATGCATCCTTCTTTTCAGTCTTCAGCGCACCTCAGGTTGTGTTAATGTATAAAGAAGACCTGGATACCTGAATGCTATGAAGACGTCCTTCTCATTATCTTATAGAACCATTCATATTTTATTTCTTATATGTGAATCTTTGCACATTTCAATTAGACATGTTTTGTTGTGAGGTTAAGAATTATACACATACACACATATTTATAAAATAATGTATATATGGGAAATTAGCTAACAATTTGGTATATATGCATATATACATATGAGATATACGTTAGCAGAATTTCCAACACCATTTGCCAGGCAGTGAACCCCAAGTGTGACCTTTATTATCTTCCTAATGCTCCCCGCAAACCTGGTAATTGATGGGATTACTTGTACTTTGCCACTGAAAGCCCTGTAAAGGTCATCACATACATAGATAATGAGAAGAATAATGGTATTTGCTTTTAAAATATGTATTTATTTTGTTTTATGTGCATGGGTGTCTCACCTGTAATTTATGTATGTCCTCCAAGTTGGCACAAGACACTCCAGGACCAAGTTCTCAGCACAAAGGAGAAGGATTTTTCCCAGAGGGAGAAAAGGGCAGGGAATGACAGACAAAGAAAAGAGACAGAGGACAAAAGAGGTTGTTGGACTTCAGTACTTTGGTAACTGGCCCTTGGTAGTCAGCCTCTGGAGGAGGAAGTGGTCAAGCAAGGGAATAGATTGGCTAGATTGGTGCTAGCTTTATGAAAGTAGTGTAAGGGTTTAGCAAGGTAGGGGAAATGGAGGAGAAGGGTAAGGCAGAAACTGTCGATGCCATGTCTGCTGTGCTTGAGCCTGCTAGAGTCCCCTTGTAATGTACATGCGTGTGTGCCATTACATTCCTGGTGACTGTGAAGGTCAGAAAGGGGGATGGGGCAGTGGAACTGGAGTTATGGATAGTTGTGGGCCACCATTAGGATGCTGGGAACTGAATCCTAGTTATTATTATTATTACTGTTATTAATATGACTATTATTACTCTGCAAGAGAGAAAAATGTAGAGCTCAATAAAAATCAAAAAAGACATCATTTTGAAAAATAAAAAAATCATGTTTAAAAATTATATCCTAACACTGTCTGGGAAATATCAAATGATGCGGACTTTCTCAAGACTGACTTGAAATTTTTTAGAACTTTCATCTTGAAAATAAATTTAAAAAAAGAGTAATAAGTGTTCTTAAGCACTGAGCTGTCTTTCGAGCCCTGAAAACTCACCCTGAAAAGGTGTAATTGTGTATGGGAGGAGAGGAGCACTTATTTGCTGCTTGGGGGATTTCAGTCCTTGCAGCCACTGTCACCGTGAGTGTGGAAAATCCTGAAGGGACTAACACTACACCTGCCCAGCTACCCCACCCTGGGGTTTCCAAAATACTCTCCGGTCAGCACACTGCCCATGTGTTTGCCCATCAGGCTTATTGCTGCTCTACTCGCAGTCGTGAGGAAATGGAGACAGTCTAGATGGCCACTGGCAGAAGAACAGGTAAAGAAGATGTTCTTCACACACATGATGTTCTTCTAGCCATGATGCAAAATGAAATCATGACATTTGGAGGAAAATTGATACAACCAGAAATCATAACCCAGACTCAAAGAAAAATACCATTTCCTTTTAAATGCAGAACTCATGTTTAAAGTTATGTGTCTATATGTGCTGATTTGTATCTGTGTATGTATTTTATGAAACTGGAAAGCGGCTCATGAAGTAGGAAGAAGAGAGCTTATAGTCCAGGTTGATGATATAATGTGATAAAAGAATAGAGGGAAGGACAGTGTCAGGAAGGAAGGGAGGAAGCCAGCCAGAGAGGGGAGCAGGCAGCAGCCGGTGGCTGGTGCACTTGGGAAAGGGAATGAAAGAAAGATAATGGCACAGTAGAAAAATGCTGAAACTCCACCTCTTCCCCCAGTTTGTGAATGAAGGCTTCACGGAGCATTTATAAAGAAAATTAGGGGGCAGGATCAATAGCTTATTTATTAAAGTGACTGCCATGCAAGCCAGAGAACCTGGGCTCAATCCCCAGAACCCACATAAAACCCTGGAAATGCTGGTGCATGGCCGTGATAGAATCTCTGAGGAGGGTGAGGCAGGAGGATCACACTGACAAGCCATTCTGGCCTGGCCTAGTAAGAGGCCCTGTCTCAAAAACTAGGTGGCAGTCTCAAAAGGACTCAGCAGATAAAGGTGCTTGCCACCAACTGTGATGATCCAAATTTATCCCCAGAGCCCACGTGGTATCAGGAGAACGTAAACTCCTCCATGTTATCCTCCGACCTCCACCATGCGCTGTGGTGCACACGGTAGTAATAACCGTGGTCATGGAGAGATCTGGGGGTTGCTCTGTCGCCAACATTCATGATGGTTGGTCTTCTGTAGCGTCGCTGTGGTGGTTCATGGGACAGTAGCTCCTTGTCATATGACTTGCACTTTCTTATTGATGAGTACCTGCCCACTTACAGCCTACCTGTTATCCAGTCATACATCTGATCAATAGTTGACCTGTTTGAAGGACTGACAGCTGCTTTTCCTCTTTGTACAATTGTATAGGTGGTCTGTATCTTTTTTCAGTACAAGTCCCACCACAATATGTGTGGGTAGTTGCCATTCTCTGCCATTTCTTTTGTCCCCACCCTTTAAAGAACGGGACCTATGGATGACTGGAAATATTTTAATATTGAAATTTAGCACCAGTAGATCTTGTATTTGAAGAACTTTTGGCTACTTTACATTTATAGAGACTGTTTTTTAAGTGCTGCCCTATGCATGGAAACAGGATGTGCATCCTGAGTGATCCACAAGCGCTTCAGTTTGCCTGTGACAAGTGATACAGGTTGACGTGCGTGTCATGTAGTATATCGATATTCACACGTGTGAAAGTTGACATATTCTTCATATAGTATCTGTGCTCACACGTGTGAAAGTTGACGTATTATTCATATAGTATCAATACTCACATGTGTGAAAGTTCAAACATATGG